AGCATCCCTCTTCACAACTTACTGTAAAACTGCTAGTAAAGGCTCCTATTACCTTAAAGATGCTCTCTACCTTTCCTTTCTTCCCTGCAGGTATCAACTACACAGCTTTAGTGGTAAGTGTGGTGCTGGGATGCCTGGTGCTGTGTGTTGGCTTCTTGCTGCTGAAGAAATCCTTTGTGGGAGTGCAATACAATAATGTTTTACAGCTGTGAGCCAACTGCTATAAAGATCATCCTAGGGATAAATCATCTGAGAAAGCCCCTCGACCCTTTGGATTCATCCCACAAATGTTTCTGCTCCATGTATTGCAGAGACACTCTGATGCTTCTAGCAGATACTTCAATGTCTGCCCATAAAAACAGAGAAAATTATAGAATATGCTCCTATGCATTAAGCAGACATGGTAAGATTCTTTGTGCCTGTGGTTCCCTAAATAAAAAAAAAAAATCAGCACCTGGATGTTACCAGGAACAGTCAGATTTCTAATGATGTAAGCCTGGCTGATAACATCCCTAGGACCAAAGCACCAAAACAATCAGGATTTGTGTGGGTTGAAAATCTCCAGAATTTGAAGCTTTCCATTTGTTTGAGAAGCAGTTGCTGGCTTTGGGACAAAAGGGCCTGTCATGTGGTTTAAATGCCAGAATCCTCTATAAACAACTGATCAAAGACAGCGAATCACCAAGCATTTGCAAGCATTGCCAAAAGCTCATCCTCCCCACAGTGTTTGAATTGCTGCACCCAAGCCAGGTACAAGGGAAAACCATTGCACTGCAGAACACATGCTAAATGAGTATGTCAAGAGCTGGCACATATTGAGGACTCATGAATAGTGCCTCTAGCTGATTTCTCACCAGTTCAAGTCAGTTAGACATGATTTCTAATGCACATCACTAGATGGATCATAAATGTATCTTTACATTCAAATTAACTTTACGCTAAAGATTAGCATGCATGGAGGTGAAGCAAGAGACAGCACTAATTATACCAAATTCTAAGACACTGATAAAGGTCAACAGGCACAAGGCAATAAGCAGCAACATTTCTCATCTCTGCTAATGCCCTCCCCAAAACCCAGCTGCTGTTATTTGTCAGTCTTGTTATGCATAATTAGGTAAGAAAAGTACTCAAAATTGGGCTGCTGAGCAGTTTGAGCATGCTGTATTCTTACAACAAGGCAGAGAATACAGGCCATTTTAAGACATGAAATTTCAAAGTCGACTGCTGGAAAACAAACTCAGGATAAACCTCGCTGCTCAGGTGCCTGGGATGTGATACTTCACTGGCCTGCTTCTCCGTTTGACCAGGAAGGGGAAGCACAGCACACAAGGTGCAGAAGATACAAACTGAGGTACTCAAATCCTTCACACAGAAAGTTTAAAATGCAAGCCTTATCCAAAAACCAGCACTCTTCTGGGAATGTCACTTCATTATTTTAGTTGATGTGAATACCTTTTAAGCAAAAGATAAAACATAACAGAAATTACAAAGTGTTACATTTGTATAACAAAATGAACATCGAACTAATGCAGGGAAGTATGCTACAATACCCTAAGCTATAGACATGCTGTTGCCTTTGAAGCCTGTGCTTCAACCCTGCTGCTTTTAGTTTCAAAATAAGTAGGAGTTACAGAAACAGCCTGATGTGTTGTTAATTTTTGTGGAGTCAAGAGGTTTACTGCTGCATGGAAAGCTTTCCCAGGAACTAAACGAAAATTTATGAAATGTCATCAGCTTTATATATCATTCCTGACCAAGAGTGCAATTAATTCTGTATGCATATGGTAAAGTCAAACAATAATGAGCAAAAATTATGGCTAATGCCTTCACATTTTAATCCACTGACATAACACCCCTGCAAAATAAACACAATAGAACTTTCCTGAATGTATCTGGCATGACATTAAACAGCTTCACATGTTTTCTACTTTAATTTGATCTTCTTTCCCCACAGTTTTAGAACAATTTTTTCCAGTCCTTGGCTAAAATTGGTCATAGCGTATAAGAACTTAGAAGAGCTATCATCACTAATTGCTCACAATTTGTCAGCATCATTTCTAAAGATGACAAAATGCTAGCCCACCATCCACATGGGAGAGAGGGTTGTTTTACCAAAGTCCTTTTTCATTGTTGCTAGAAGTCAGGCCACATCCACTCATCCAGCATCCTTCTCAACCTCATCAGAAAGCTGTAGGCACACGCTTGCTCACATCACCCCTCCAGCCACTTTGTTGGATCATGCAATTGTCCCTCTATTTTGCAAGAGCAGCTTCAACACTGGGGACAGTTTAGATTACTGAGGAGATAGAAACGGACATGTGATGTGAAAGAATGCAGATACACCCAGTAAATCCTCATTACCTGCTCCCATACGGGAAGAACAAGGAAGTGTACTTCATACATCAGTGTACTTCCCAATACAGGCACAAAGCAGTTCCAACAGGCCCTGGCTACTGTAAAATATAGAAAAATAGTAAAATAGAGAACTGATAAAAGCCTGTAGTGGTCTGAATACTGTTTGTTCACCTGGCAGTTTATCAATGAGCCTGGACAGAACTTCACAATTAAGGAAAGGAAACAGGACACAGGGCAGAGAGCAATATTCTATTTTTACAGGCAGGCAATAAAAGGTCTAATGATTTTGACAAAAATCACATGGAAGCACGATCTCAAAGGTAATACAGACTTGTAGCCTGTCAGACTTCCAACTTCAGAAACAAGCCTTTGCTTTGCAGCTGCAGTCAGCAGCTAGATCAGGTGTGGCAAAGCTCCTTCACCTCAGAAGCCAAATAAATTGCACCCATCTCCTCCAGGACCCCAAATACCTGACTCCAGCCACCCAAAGCTCCCTGCTCAGGCAGTCAGTGGAGTCTAGGGCATAAAGCTTCACCTTCTCTATTTAAATAAAGCTTTCAGTGGCAAAGAGTGTCTCCTTGCTGTAGATGCAGTGTTCAACACAAAATGACCCCAATTCCAAATACCACTGCAGTACAAACCCAAAACCTTTCCACATCATTTCAGTAGACAGCCCACTAGAAATCCAGACAGAAAGTATGCCCTGATGGTCAACAAAGTCAACAAATCCCCAAGAGGACTTGTCAGGAATGAGGATTTAAGCTAAAGCTATTTCATAGTTTCACTTCAATCAAAGCCCAATTTTTTATTTCAAATTCTAACTTTAATTTCTACCAGAGACAAAAATCTGTAAGCTGAGCTCCAGAATATAACCATAGAAGACCCAACAAATCCCATAGCAGATTATCTTTTAAAAAAATCACACTGAATTCTTGAGACGGAAATTAAAAAATTGAATTTCTATAGAAAAGGCATAAAACTACTCTGCTTCATAACTGGTTATTAACTACTATATCATACTATCCTGTAATTAAAAAAATAGAGCCACAAAGGTCCTTTCCCTCACAGAGCACTGCAGAAATGTTGCCCTCAGTTCCAAGAGTGAAAGAGAAATGTTAATCTGTCTACTTTCCCATAGATTTAGTATGTTTGAGCCTGCAAAAGTGAAAAAATATTCTATCTGGTTATTCCTTTCCATGCTCAACTTCAAACCACATCTGCTGCTCAAAAGGAAACCGAAGGCCAGATTTCATCTTAGAGATGTGATCCACATTAGGTGCCTACATTTTTTCTTCCTTTGTCCATAAAATTCCAAGAGACAACCGCAACGTACTTGCCAGGGAGAAATATTTCAAACATTTCAGAGAACAAAAATCGTAACACAAGTACCACAAAGCAGAACAGATAACCAGTTAGAAGACCATTTAAAAACAGCTGAGCAAACTTTTTAAACAGAAGTCCAAAAATGTGAACAGGCAAGGAAGAGAACAAGGGCACATTATGCTAACAGTATCACCAGTGAGCTGTCTTCAACCAACCAGTTCTACTTTATTCAGAGTTTAGCTAAGCATTTTCCATCCTATTCCAAGTATATCCAAGCGTCCCAGATACATTCAGAGTTCAGACAGTACCTTTGCGGTCTACCAAAAACAGTGAGAACGCATCTGAAATTGCGTTTCAATGAAGCTATAGGTGTAGATTTTGATATTTGAAACAAACACCAGATGGTTCAGACTTCCAAGGTCTCTTTGGGCAGAGTTACTAAAAATCAGTGTAATGTCAACCTAGAGCAAGGTCTTCAGCTTCAGCACTTTGCATTCATAGCACAGACTTTTTTTTCCTAAAAGGACAGTTCCCCACATGTGTAAATTAAGGGTCTAGAGAGCAGCAGTGAAAAAAGATGTAGCAACAAAAAAGCAAGGTGGTTTCATAATTGCTTCTGAAGTGTGATGCACTTCAAAGTTTTCTTATTCACAACCTTCATCCATTCCTTATATGCAAAACCTGACATTGCCACTTCACTGTCACAGTCACTTCATAGTCCAGGACAGAGATTTAGAGGGATGTTTTATCCAGTTAGCAGACAAGAAAATCCTTAGCCTGCTGACTCTTCATCCATC